TAAATATGAGCTAGTTCCTCACCCGGCCTCATATATTCCTGCCACGCTTTCCGTGGAGCTGTCTGGCAGTCGTTATATATGAGAATCAAAAACTCTGCTTCAGCTGCGGCGCTGGGAACTGACATTTATTTGGATGCTTCGGGACCTTTCGGGCACAGGCTCCAAGCACGCTGCATATTTAGCATACAAATAGACTAATATATGGGCGGGAGAGAGCCATGCACTAAACTGATAAAGACATCGGCCCTCAATGTTTATTAAAAACGAATTTCAGCAAATTAAATGCTATCTATTACAAGAATTAATCTTAAAAATTGCTGGGACCACTAGCCTGGGTGGTTGCGATACTCATTTAATTCCATTCTTCCGTGCTAAAACTCATCATTTGAAAAGTTTCGTGTTTCAGATGATTAAAAAAATCTCGCTAACACTGATCCCGAATGCCCAACAAAGCGCAGTGCTGATGTGCTTTAATTACAACAAGTGGCGGGCACACCCTTCATCCCTGAAAGCTGCTTAGGGCCATTAAACTCTTGCTTGGGCTTGATTGCTCATGATTATGAGCTATATTCCCTATCTCAACAAATAGTAGTTTTAAGAGTTTCCTGCTGTGTCCCCAACGCGGTAAAACGGACCTCAGCCGGTCCGGTTTATTTAAGCAAAAACTAAATTCCTGCCCGAGAAGGAGCTGCAAAGGCTAATATAAGTGTAATGCAATTAAAATCCTTCTTTGGAAGCAGGCACGGCTGCTCAGGAGGTAGGAAGGTGCTGTTTGGTACTGATTGCCACTTGCTCGTACTCTCCTAAATGAGGTAAAATGAAGTTAATTAAGAGAGGCAAAGTGTGTCAAGGCAAAGATTCCTGAATGACTCTTTCAAGGTCCTCTCCTGGCCTCCATCAGAGATAAGTGATGTCTTTGTCACTTGAGACATTTAAAGCTGTACGACCACAAACTGCTTATTAAAAATATCTACAGTCAGGGTTTGCAGAGTGTTTTTTTCTCTCCTTTCTGATTTTTGATGTCTCTGTGGTCTCAATTTTTACCTGATCACAGGAGTTCCAGTAACAGCCATGAGTCATCGAGCAAATGTCCTGAAATTAGACGGTTATCTTTGTTTTTCAAAGTTAGCATTTGTTTAATAGCTAAATACCCTAGAATTTCCTGGTTTGACCAGAGAAAAGCTAGCAGCCTTTAGGGGTGGCCAGTGCATTGTATTGTACACATTTAAAAATAGATGCAGCCTCTTCTTGATAACTATAGGGAAAGTTCAAAGCTGGTCTAAGAGTTAATAATAAAGAATGAAATTCAGCATTTATAGAGGTTTATGTAAAACACTTTATCACTTTGTCCACTATGCTTGCATCAGAGAAGATTTATAGCAAGGTAATTCAGCATATACTTCGTTTGTCCACTATGCTTGCTTCAGATAAGATTTATAGCAAGGTAATTCAGCATAAAAGTAGATGTTTGGGAGATTTCTTCGAGAGAGAAAGCTTTTTTTTTTTTTTTCTTTTTTTCTTTTTTTTTTGGTCCCTGCTCGTCCATAGCAGTTGTCTTTGCTTGGAGGGTTTATTTGAAGCCGTTGAGTGAGCGCTCGGTGGCACGGAGACTCCTTCCCTGCGATCTCTGTCCTGGGAAAGCAGTGCTTGTGCGAGAGCCGAAGGGAAACAGCATGAAAACAACCTGGTTTTGTGGTGAGAAAAGCCCTTGCGGTGGAGCCAAGTGGCCCTCCGGAGCCAAGGGGGTTAACTGACAGGGTGCAATTTTATTTTGGGAAGCCAGAGACTTGCGTGAGGTTTCATGTTAGCACACACCTTTCCTGCTTATTGGTCTCATGATCTACGAAGGGCTAAAGATAAGACCATATATATATATATATTATATATATATATTATATATATATATTTTTTTTTTTTTTGCAGAAAAAACATACTGTAGGAGTCTGATGAACAGACACTTTTATTATAAAAGCTCTTCTGTCTCATGGAAACTGCAGATTGCTAGCTATTACATGACATTGAATAGTTTTTCTTTCAGTATTGTCACACGTTGACTTAAATATGATGAAGCCTTAGAAAAGATTGAATTATTTTAATTTCACTCTTTTTTTTCCCCCATTGAGTGAAACACCTTTGTGTTTTATTTTGGAGGTAAATTATCCTATTTATCTTGTCTGTATAAATACCTTTATGAATAATGCAGGAAGCTGGGCTGGTAAAAGTAGAAATTACAGACCTGTCCTTAAAGGACAGGATTAGCATCGTGAAAGAGCTATTGAAAACCAATTGGTGCCTTTATTCTGCCATGCAAAAATTGCCATTTTTGAGCTTCTGCGAGGCCCATTATTACGAAGCTCTATTAACAATTCTGTACTAATGACAGTTAAATGAGTGAGTGAGGGGAAAAGCACACAGCACACTGGAAAAATGATTTCACAAGGGGTGAGAACAGCAATATCACATGATCAGTTAGTCAGGAAGAAAAAGTATTGCACTCATTCAAGGATAGTACAGATCTCTAGCCCAAAGCTAGAGAGAAAAATTAAGGTTATGGGAAAAAATAAGTTAATTTTAAGGGGTGATTAAAACTTGAGGATGGTTTTTGCTCTGAAGTCAGAGGTTTCACTTCACCTTAGCTTATCTTTTTGAGGTGAGTACCAGCGTGTGCACACACTCTCGTGGCACCTAAATGCAGTTCATATATAATTCAAGTTCTATGGCACAACCTCAAGCCTTACGCTGATAAAAAGGCCTCTATCCGAAGGTAAGTTTTAAGTACAAGTGCAAGGACCTAACGATGGAAAAGCAAAAATCCAGAACAGTGAATGGATTCTAATTCCCTGTTGTGGTTGTTAAACATAGCAGCATCTTCCACAGAAATATTCCTTGGAGAAAGGGTTTTCCAAAGCCATCAAACAATGAGATGGAGAAGATCCATTAGATGGACTAAGTATCATTGCAGTATAAGATCTTGCATATATAGAATATATACTTGCATCTAGTTGTAGTATAGAAAGCTACTATTAGCTACTATAATTTTGCATTTTTAAAACCCTAATATTTTCCTAAACCTTTAGATATGTGTTTACACGCTAAAAATAATGCTCAGGTGAACAGAGAAGCCGGGAAAGGGCCACCTGCCCCTTCCTCTCTGTCCCCCATCACCCAAGTAAGGGGCCTTCAAGCCCAAGTGCTCTGGGCATCAATGCTGGGGAAGATGAGCAGGAGCCGTGGGCAGCTGACCTGTGATAGCAAAGTCGTTTGCTTCCCAAATAGGATTAAACTTATTCCGTGAGCCACAACACGTGAAAAGGTCGTGGTCCTAAGTTCCATTTGGTGTAATGAACTGAAAGTGTCTGAGTCTGCAAGCAGCGCTCGTCAGCGATGGACGGCTAGATTTGTGCAGTGTTTTAATGCACAAATTAGCTCCGGCAAAATATAAAGTACAGGAAAAGGTGGCAGCAGTGACAGATTTTAAAGCGTAAACAATTTGACTTTATTGTTAGATGGAAGCGAATAAAGCTAGAAATAAATAGTGGCTGTAACCCTGTTACATAGACGACTTTGTTCTTGAGGGAGTGTGAGCCCAAAACTGAGAAAAAGTCTTTGGTTTAGGTTTCTCAGCTGTATTTTCACTAGACTAGGTATTGTTACTTAAATGAGGGAAAAATGGAGCTTTTCTGTAGCTTTTAAGATGTAATCAAAGGAGTCGTTGTAAGGAATGCATCATTCAAATGAACTTCAACATACATGAACATGAGTCCATTAGAGCCAATGAAGCCGTATGGGTGCAGGTATTTTATAAATTAAGATGAAAAAGCTGCTCTGTGTTTGCTTGATAGCCTTAACTCGATCTCAGCACCAGGATTTAAGCCTGAAAAATTAGAAGCTCGATGCTGGCAGATCTAAACGGTGATAACCCGATTTCACCAATTTTGTGTGTTCAGCGTGCACAAGTTGACTCATATTTTAAACATGATGGTGGTAAAGAAGAGTTCCTGGTGGGTGAAGACACCTGATATTTGTGGTCAATTTGAGATTCATTTTTAATTTATATGGAACTGATAGCAGGGCTGAATACTGTCCAAGATAAAAATATAGCTTGAGCTAAGCAGAGGAATGGAAATGTAATAGCTTCTTAAATTACCGCAAGGCTAACATAATTAATTTGCTAATTTTAATTACAATTCAGCAAAACATGATGGAAAAATGCTCAAAGGGGAGAATCAGCCAGGTGCCAGCCGTGATTAACCAAGGTTACTCGCTATTATAAGGTCTCTATTAACATTGTTAAGGAATTTTTTAAATCTCTTGTATAAAAACAGTGCGTTCATTAATACTCAGCAGGGTGTTCAACCTGCTCTACCTTGGCGCGGCTGTGGATTTACCTCTTTTTTCCAGATAAATTGCCCCAAAACATGGACTGCTTCGACTCTTTGCTACGCACTATTGCGCGTTACTTATTTTGATATTATAAATGGCATGAAAAAGTGAGTTACAAAGGAAAGATTGATTAATGTTTTGTTAATTCTCTGAACTTACCAAGTGCCAGGTAGCTGCAGCGTGCCACCGGTGAGCACTATAAGCAGAAGTCCTGAAGAAAATAGTCTGTCTTTCTGAGATGCCTTGGGATACACAGTCTGGAAAGCAGAAATATTGCTGAAATTGCCTTGTGAGTTGAGGTGTTGTGCCGTGCTTTGCACCCATCTAACTTCTTCCAAAACGAATAAATAAATGAATAGATAGAACACACACAGAAAACAAAAATTCTGCATGCTTACTTTATGTTTTAAAGGGAATCACAGTGTAAACAAAACTTCTTACAGGTCTCTAGCTCCACGATGTAGGATTGTTGTTGTTTATTATGTCAATCGTGTTGGTGTCTGTTTGGAACCGTATGAAAACTATGGTCCATGTATTAAAGGAAGATATTTTAAAAAAGAAAAAAGCTTGGTGTCAAAGGAAATTAATTTCCTGGCTGGCTTGTGTTTTTCTCTGAGGCAGATATTGATGAGTGTGCAGAGGGCATCATTGAGTGTCACAACCATTCACGCTGTGTTAACCTCCCAGGGTGGTACCGCTGCGAGTGCAGAAGCGGTTTCCATGACAATGGCAGCTACTCTCTTGCCGGGGAGTCCTGTGTTGGTAAGCAACGAGCAGCAGAGCGCTCCGTTTTTAATGTGTATATATGTATTATTACTTCTGCATGGTGGTACAGAGTGACCGTTGAGATCGCATGTCCCCAGCGGTCGCTCGAGGCTCGAACGAGAATGTCCCCAGCCGCGCGGCGCCGCTGCTGGTTCTGGATGCATCCCGGTGCGGAACGGGGCTGCGGAGGGAAGGCCACCATAGACCGAGCATGACCCTTGCTGGGCTTGGCCATTTATGTGACAAGTCCCTTAAAACCCGCGCTCCTTGGTGCTCCAGGAGCCCTTTGCCGGCCGCCGCAGTGAGTAATAGAATCATAGGGAAGATGGTCCTGGTGGCTCCCCTCTGCTTCACCGTTTCACCCCTTTTCACTTCTTCCCTCGGGCCTGATGAGCAATTTCTCTCTATTTCATTGGAGAGGCTGAGAACTGTTCAGGAAGGATCTCACTTCCGCCAAGGTTCACACTGGCTTCTTACGCTTCTGCATCCTTTCTTCAGCATTTCAGTTATTTCATTGCTACTCAGTTTTGTGAATTTTCTCTAAAAAACATCTTTTCCTCCTCTGCCTCTTTTGCAACAATCTTTTTTTTCTTTCTTTTTTTTTTTTTTTTTTTTTTTAACTTGTGCGTTCTATTTCTCATGCTCAGAAGTGTTAAAGGGCTGTTTCTAAGAGTGTACCATTAAAATAAAAATGAAGATTTGTAATAGCAAATGTGTAAGTCCAGTTATACCTCGTAACGTGTGTTTTCATCCTTTACAAATCACAGGGTCTTTAGAACAAGACAATATTGTGATTTAAAAATGCAGAAGAAAGAACTGTTTCCAAAGCTGTGACTTGTTGAATAAAATAGCCTGTGAAGCCACATATTCTTGAAGGGATTCTCAGGTATTTGGTATTCTGCTCTAGAGTATCTAGCTACTGCAACAGGAGCGATGGACAAAGCAATACTGAAAATTTTCGTTCTGTCACAAGTCCAAGCAACACGAAAGAGCCCCCCAAGCATAGCTGGCCTTGCGCTATTCTGCTCTTGAAACGATTCTGCTATTCTGTGCCAAGAAGAAAATTACAAACCGTGATTTTTCTTTCAAAAAGTAGCTTTTACGAAGAAAGTTAAGGTCAAGAAACAATTAGAATGACAGCTAAATATTGCCCCCCGTTCTCGGTAAAATTTTGTTGCTTGAGCACATATTTACATCACTTTACAGAGTGTATTTGCAAGGTGGAGTATGTAGAGCCAGGGCAAGAGTCATTCACTGTGTGTCTGATTAAAGAAGATTTATCTGCTTAGCAACAGTGTTTTGTCCTGATGTCTTTTAGAGACTGAGTGCAGGAGCCCTAGTGTACACCTGCAGTGGATTTGGTGCTTCAGCGTGCTGTGAAAGCGCCTTTCCTTCCTCTCTGAAGGACAAATCTTAGAGAACAATGAGCAGCCGAAGAAAATAAGTAAAAAAGAGCTTAAATAGAACTAAAAATGGTGAGTTAGCGAGAGGGCATAGACAGCTCTGGCAAACAATGTAAAGCCCAGGCAGCAGTTAGTGCTGTGGGATGCGTTTGTGTATCTGCTGGCCAAGTGCCCTCACCCTCGGATTATACATAGGTGGCAATGCAGCCGAGTCATTGCTTGCAGTGTCTCAGCTTCATAAGATGGTGGCGGCGCGCAGGCTCAAATCAGAGAATTTAATTTGATTTCCAGTGTTTTTTTGATGCACTGGCCTTTTACAATGTGTTATTAAAGATGCTGCTTACAGGCAAAAGGCAATGGCTGTACAAAGTTACTACTAAAGTTTGCATGGCAATTGCAATACGTAGGCTATAGTTTCCAGGATTCTTTTTTTTTTTAATAATAATTTTGCTGCACCTTAGGATAACAAATAAAAATCCTTTCAAGAGGCCAATGACTTGTCATTTGATATATCTACCAATATTATTGCTATCCAGGGGTATTCTATGAAAGCATATGGCATATATTGGCACTAGGAATGCACTAGGAATCTGTTGCCAAATGCTGCCACCTGGAAAAAAACACTGAATTTGGGGGGTTTTCATGATCTTAGGATCATAAAAGCTGGCCCCCAGAAAATGTTGTGTTCTGAGAAGTAAATAATGTTGCATAAAGTTCACTCATAATACAGAAAACAAACAAACAAAAAAACAGTAAAATGAATGAAATTACACATTTTAATTTTTGTTGCTCTGTTTTTAAGTGGAGTTTTTGCATGCAGTCGGTCAAACTCCTGGAGCAGAAATTCCCAATTCCATTTTCTTCCCATGCTGTTTCATTTTCATCATCTCCATAGCAATTCTCAAGTAAAACAATTGAGAGAGCAGCCGCTGTCCTTTGTTGGTTGATTTATTTATTTATTTATTTTTTCTATTGAGAACCAACTTAAAATCTGCAGGGAAACTTAACACGGATGTGCTTTTTCATAAAGCCATAGGAAAGTTGCCTAGCTGGATTTTCCTGCAGCGCAGAGTAGCTGCTTGAGAAAAGGGAACTGAGAGAGAAGGTGAGAAAAATAAAACCCTCTATGTGAGTTTGCCAGTCTCCTACAGAAGTTGGGTGCAAAAGTGCTTCAGGGTCAGGTTTGAATGCGTTTAAAATTGCTTCGTGAAAATTTAATATATTTTATGGCATGCTGCAGTCTTCTATCCATGTTCAAAACCATCTGAGTAGGAGTTTTGCTCTCTGATTATTTTGCCCCCTTTCCCTGCCAAATAGAAGGCTGGACCTATCCCTTGAAAATCTTTCCATAGGCCTGAGAGTTGTGTTTCTGGCATTATTGAGCAGTGTGTAGTCAGAAAGGTTTCTGTGTGGAAGAGTACCTGACACCAACCCAAGAACCTGCTGTGTTACAACTTCCTTCTGTTCTGCTCGAAGAAATTCCTGAAGCTCAAAATAGCAGGGTCTGTATCTGTAGGTTTTGTCCTACAAAATAAAAATAATCTTCTTGCTTTCCATTAGCAAATTCTGATTCGTGTTTTGAGAACAAGTTGTATTTCATGTCTTAAAAGTAATTGTGCTTAGTCGTTTCTGTATTTCTAGAAAGCAGTAGTATATTCTGTATTATGTATCTAATTGACTGTACAATGTTCTTTAAGAGACCATAATGTCTATATACAAGTGGTATCATAAAATATTTTCTAGCTAAAAAAAGAAATCTATTCAGTGATTTCTTTTCAGTGACGAGTCCAAACCACTTTCTTTGATTTAGAAAGAAGACACACACATTTTTCAGTGACAAGTTGCCTGTGAAAAATGATTTGTCAAAGCAATGTTTAGTTAGCTTAAACATACATTGATTTGGGAGCCCAGCATACATTTCTCACATACCGTGAAACTGTAATGGTTTAATGTCCCATAACAGCTAAAATGAGCACATTAGTAGAGTTCTTTCTTCTGCAGCAGCTTATCATGATATTACAGAGCACCGCACTGCATGACTTGCACCTGCTTATTAAGGTGCTGTAGGAAAGTCATGCCATTAAAAGCTGAATAGCTGGAAAACAAAGAAATGAGGTAGCTAGGGATCGGAGTAAGATTTCAGTGTGTCCAAGTTAATGAACTTGTGTTGAGATGTAGAGTCATGCTTGTCTTCTACCCCATTCAAGCACCATGGCCATGGGACCTCTAGCAGCATTTGAGGCAAATTACCTTTCATTAGAGCCAAAAAGGCTAGAAAAGGAAATTGTATCACAGGGAATTATTCTGTTCCATATTGATTCTGATTTTTAATCTGTCCATGCTACCAACTTAACTTCAGGTACTTGTAGAGCATGTTAATAAATGGGTCTAGCTTATTCCCATCCATAAAGTGTAACTAGTTGCATTGCACTTAAAGTATATACGATCAGGTTCTTGTTGCTGTATATTTATTTGCAGAAGCAAAGATGGAAAGTATTTAAAGAGTGAGTTTTATGATAGTCCTGTGTACTGTTTAGTCTTACCCATCACTAAATGTTTCTGTTTAGGCCAACCTCTTTTGAGAGGAATTGTGGAAAAGCAAACAAAACCTTCTGGGAGTGCAAAGAATTGGAATTGAGCCAAGAATTTGAATAGTATAAAGTATTTGAATAGTATAAAAATAATCAATATATGAGAGTCTTACTGTGCTATGTTTGTATTCATTAGAAGATTGTTTTTGGACATGTTCAGACATTTTAAGCTAGAGTAACTTTTCAACAGTCAAGTGGGCACATTGATTCCTGTTGTTAAGAGAAATTTCACAGTAAATAAGAGTATTTTATTCCATGTTGAGCTTAGCAATCTACATGCTGGTCATATGTCTACATGAGCAATTCCATTTGGATCTCCCTTTAAATGAAGTCATTTATTAAGCTAACTGGGGCTAACAAAAAGGAGGCATTTGTCAGGGTGGTGGTGGTTGTTCTGTTTTGTTTTTTTTTCTTTCTTTCTTTCTTTCTTCTCCCCTTTAAAACTTTTTTAAAATCTAGTTTGAATTTTAAAGAGTGAAAGGACAAAAATCACGTTAAACATAAAACATCTTTTTTTTCCCCCAAGTTCCTGGGGACATTGGCTGCTTTTCCTGACTGCCAGAACTGCAATCAGTGACAAGAAAAAACTGCCGAAGGGATGTTCTAGGAAAATTAGCTCTATTAAAAGTTCGGCTGGAAATAAGTGCAATGTCCAGGCCTTTTGTATTTGATTAATGGTGAAAGCATTTAAATAATAAATGCCATAAAAGAGAAAGAAACCATCATTTGCATAAAGAAAGGGAAAAATTGAGCAAAGGGAGTAGGAATTAGGAATTTGTGCTCATGCTCTGTTACTTGGCTTCTGCTTTTTGGGCTCCTTTGTCACTAATGTCCCATTTAGCAGTTTGGGTGGCTCCTAAGAGAGGCATCCTATTCATATGTGCTAAATCAACTCGAGGGATAGCAGTGCACAAGGAGGATGCTCTCCTGTTGTGGATATATGGAGTAGATTAGGTTGGCTTTGTCAGTGTGAACAGGTCTGCACTACCGAGAATATGAATAATGTTAGTTTTTATAATTGCTAACATCTGGCTTTCCATAAATCTGTTAAATTACATGGAAGCCAAATTAGATTTCTGTGTCATAAGTAAAGCAATTACATGGAACTCTGTAGGCAATATGGCTTTATATTCATCTGTAAAATCCTTTTATTTTTGGACCATGAAGGATGCTCTTCTAATTGGCTCTCTGATTCTACTGCATATTATGTATGTGCTCTTCAAGGAGCCCTTAATATTGTGGGGAAGAGAATATTGACCATGCTTGGTGAAATCTCCAAGCACAAAGTGAACGCTGCCTTCATGTGTGTGTTTTCAACATAAAATACCTGTTAAGGCTTATCGAAATGAAAATTGTGTCTTACAGTAGCTATTTGCGTATAAATCAATTTGTAGCAGATCATTCACATCTCCCTTCATGTCAGTCTTCGTGGTTTTTCTGTGATACTCTTGGCACTCGTTGAACAGCGGACTACAAGTTTTAATTTTTCTTGGTGCAGACACTGGCAGCAGACCTTATAAACAGCTCTAAAGTATGGATTTGAGCAGTCTCAAATCTGGATTTGAGGGATCCAAATCTGGATCTGGAGGGATCCAGACTTCTTTGGCAAGGTAGCAGAATTCCCCCCGGTGGGGGGAAGGCTGAGGGACGAATAGTTGAGTTGTGCTCTCGAGCCATTGGGAACCTCCTTGGCTAAGGAGGACTAATTTATAGATTCTTCATTTCAACTTATAATTTTAAATTGAATGACGTCAAGGGGACATAAGCAATTTTCCTTACCTGAGAGCATTTTTAAGATCTTTTTAAGTTCTGGCTTTTTGATGGCTAGCAAGCCTAGGGCACTTGCCCAAGAAGTAGGGCAGCTGGTCGCACCTAAATTAGTGGAGATAATTTTTATTTTCAAACTCTAATCAAGTTTTAGATTTGTTCTTTGGAAGAGGAACTAAAAGTCCTTTTAGGTAACATTAAGTAGTTGTATATTTCACTGTAGCGGTGAAGACATTTTAAATGGTATGCATGATGATTCCTTCTTCTAAATTCATATAATAGCATTCCGAAGTTTTCATGATAGAAACCAGCAGGTGCTTCTAAAGGATTCCCTTCTCCATCCTTCGTCCCACTCTTGCTTACAGTTTTCGTTGTTCACGTATAGCAGAACAAAAAAAGACCCACAAATTTGCTGATGTTCTACCTGGGCGTCCTGGCAGATGTTTTTTCCCTGGATTGGTATTGTCAAAATCTCTAGCTAAGTATTTTTACCTGGTATCTTTATCCAGAATTTTTGCCTTTATCTTTACCTGGACATCCTTCCAGGTCTTTCATTAAGAACAGTCAAAAGTTCTTTTGTCGAAGAAATTCCTCTTCTCTGTAGTGTGCTTAAAATCCTCATGGCTTCTGCTGCAAGGCAAAGAATGCTGTATCAACCTCCTAGATAAATTCAATTACTAAAACTCTCTGTTATGCAGCTCTTCTTTTTTGTTACTTTTTTTCATCTGTTTCATTGCAAAACCATCCTTTTCTTGCTTCGCTTTGCCCAAAACTGGTGATACCAGAAAGAAGGCGTCCTCCTCCCAAGACAGATGAGTGATAATTGTAAGAGTGAAAACTGGTCCCAAGGAAAACAACGTCCCAAACGTTATCAACTGGCTGTTTTGCAGATATCGATGAGTGTGCCTTAAAGACCCACACGTGCTGGAACGACTCTGCCTGCGTGAACCTGGCAGGGGGCTTCGATTGCCTCTGCCCGTCTGGCCCATCCTGCACAGGTGACTGTCCCCACGAAGGTGGCCTGAAGCGCAACGGGCAGGTGTGGACGCTGAGGGACGACAGATGCTCCGTTTGCTCCTGCAAGGTGAGGGTCTTCAAAGCCTTCGAAACCACCAGGGCAGGGGTGGTTGGGCTCTGCTGTAGAACCTAGGTATTTGCTGGGACTTTTTGTTTGTTTGTTTGTTTTGCCCTGTGCACAACAACAAACAGAGCTGGAAGCAGCAAACCCTGTAAGGCTTTGACTACAACCCTCAGCGGCCAGAGCCACCAGCTTGGCTGCACCAGCGGTCATAGTGGTGGTAAAACTGTCCATGGTCGTCACAGCAACACCACTAGCCATGGCATCAGTAAAACTGTGGCCCATGGAAAAGCCAGGACATAGAGAGAGAGAGGTTGAATTATCCATCTTCATATCTTCAAGCTTGAGAAGAGGGGAAGGGCTGCTTGGAAGTAACAAGCAGCTGAAAGCTTCCCCGTTTCTGCACTGCTGTAGTGTAGCAAAAGAAAAATCAAGGCTATGGGATGAATGGTTTCCACAAAGTGCACTGCTGTTTTAGGCTCCAGTGGGGATATATTCTTGTTAGCTGCTGTATTTTTCACTACAAGTAGCCTCAAGCTCCCCAAAACTCCTCCCTGCAGAAACTGAATCATGCAACTCTGCTGAATACTTATCAAGCTTTTATTGTAATCTTGGGGAACTGGCTGGCTTCAAAAAAGATTTCTAGTCAATAGAATAAAGAGTTTAATATATGTGAAGACATCTGGTCTGCCTTTGTAGAATGTATTGTATTAGTATTCCCCTTTTAGATTGCTTGTAAATTGTTTCATTTGCCATTTCTCACTGCACTTATGTCTTATGTTGAATGCACTTATTAGTAAATGAAAATGCACAAAATGATTAACTAGCACACAGATATTTTAAAATAAGCCTGGCACTGTTTGTTGCTGTGACTCTTCCTTTTTATCTTCCTCGCTTTCCGCTTTCTGTTGTTTTTACCCTTTGTGAATAGAAATTTGCATTTTCTTTCATCCCAGCATCTCCCTTGTTTCAGGAGCCAAATTCTTGTCTGTCAAACAGGAAAAACGGGGAGAGTGCCTCTCCATCATATCCTGACTGGGACATGAAGTACTCATTCAGTGATTTTTGGTTTTGTCTTTCTGTTTTGTTTTTAAATCTGCTCTTGAAACGTTATTTCCTAAATTGTGAGAGCTTCCAGTCCCCCAGGCCACTGTGAGCGCTGTCCCTGCCTGACTCTTCTGCAACCTGCTTGGTTTATACTGAGCAAAAGGACAGGGGATCACCATATCCTCCCTCCTGCTGCTTATTCCAGCACGGGAACCATCTTGCATCCCTTGCTTCCATAGGAGACAAGTCAGCACTGCAGATTTAAAATGCTGGGTTTTCTTGGCTCGTCTTTTCCTGCAGTTTTTCGAGGAGAGGTCAGGTGGATGCAGTCTGGGCAGCAGATGGGCCATGTGGAGCCCCTTTCAAAAAAGTTTTTGCTTGAAATCTGGGGCAAGGGAAATAGAGCTGAAGGCTCAAGTTTTTTGGGTAAGATTATTTGTGGGGCAGGACGCAAGAAGTTACAGGACTGAAGCACCAGGGATGATCCCGGTGTTTTGTCAGCCACAGGCTCTTCAGACCATCCTCATTCGTCTGAACAAGGACAATGTTTACCAAAACATAAATTCCCTAAACTTAATTAGTCGACTGTATAATTAGTATATAAACGTAATCGGACCTTAATTGTGCCTCTGCGTGTCAGGTTTTCCTTTGCTGAGTAAAATTGTGCTCATGCCATTAATGCTTGCAAGGAGCGTGGCAGCGATTCAGCGGGGACACTGGGGAGGGACAAGGACTGGTGAGATGATGTATAGGATTATCCCATCAAAAGAAGATAAGTTGTTTTCTGTACACTTCCCCATTTTCATGATAGAGAAGAGCTTAAAAAATGCAATGCTATTATAGAGCTGCAAAAACACAAGGTAAATGCTGTAGCTTGAGAGACTTTGTGTCGTTGCACTATGGGGATAAACGTGATTTTTGGAAGGCATGGAACTAAGGAGGGGGTAGATAAAGCACAGATGATTAAAGAATAAAGAGAGTAGATCCATTGCTACTATTGAATAAAGAATATAACAGCATTGCCAAAATGTCTCTGGCAGAAAAGAAATCTGGCAAAAAAAAATAGAATGTCAAAACTCCAAATAATCACCTCACCGTTAACCGTGCTTTCATTTTTTCAGTCTACATGTGGCATATTGGTATTTTGGCTCCCTTACAAGAAGCATATAACTTCAAACATGGTAGTCCCTCCAGCTTTCCTAGCTGGAATTAGAATAAATTTGTTTTTCTCTGATGCAAAGGGAATATGGCCTTTTCTTTTTATATGCAAAAGTAATTCTTCTGTTTATCTCAAACAATTCTGTTTAATGCTCTTTACCAAAACATGCCATCCAATATTCTAAGTAAATATTTAGCAAAAGCAGGAGAAAATCATATTTTGGAGAGCCTGTGAAATATAGAAAGCCTTCTTTAAACGTGGGCAGGAATATAGTGGTGATGACAGTTTGGAGTCTGTATAGCTTTAAGTGAATATACAACAGGTCCAAGTCTAGAACAGAACCAGCGGTAAACTCAGGTTAAAGAATGATTAATATCACGGGGTGTTTTTTGCTCCTTCCATGCTTCTATGATGTTAAAGGCACCATCTTCATAATTTTACCTTATTTATATATTCAAGTTATTTCCTTCATAATGATACTGCTATTTAAAATAGTCCTATACGATTGTAATGCTAATGGATCAGAGGGAGGGAAGAACACTCAGCAAGTTTGTTCATGCAAGAGGGTACTATTAGGGCTTAATTTTGGAATTAAGTTTAGGATTTAAGTTGAGGAGTTTCCTTAGGAATTAAGTTCCTAAGCGTAGTGTTTCCTGAGATGAAGATGTGCCAAAGATGAATCTACCACGCAAAGACCATCTGGATGATACCTCTGTGGTGGCCTTTCCTGGAGTGCTCTTTGGCGGCCTGGGACTGATGGCAGGACAACCTTGCTCTCCGCAGGATGGGAGGATTTTCTGCCGGAGAACGGCCTGCGACTGCGAGAACCCCAGCGCCGACCTCTTCTGCTGCCCCGAGTGCGACACCAGGGTCACCAGCCAGTGCCTCGACCAGAGCGGGCACAAGCTCTACCACAGCGGGGACAACTGGACCTACAGCTGCCAGCAGTGCCGCTGCCTGGTATGGTAACACGTTTTGGAGGGGGAAAACAAACGTGCTGCCTTTTTTTTTTTTCTTTCAATCCCCCTAATGCTGGAAAAAGTTGTGCAGTGTCACGTGGTGGGAAAAAAATTATCTTATCAAAAAGATTAAGGAATACTGAAATTGCTAGACAAGCGTGCAAAATAAAAAGCACAAAATAAAGACAATTTCTTAGATGCCGAAGGCACACATTAGACACTGTAGAAGCTCTAATTCTTGCACAGGTACACTTAATGCAGCAATAAACCTCATTAATTATTTCCCTTTATAGCTGTCTGTATAACATTGTGCTTATAAATGACATTAATCCCAAGACCATGACAGTATCAAACAGTATTTACAGTGTGTTTTACAAGTTAGTATTTCTTTGGCTAATTTTGTGACTAAGTGGACAGATAGACTAAAAGGCAGCAATGCACTACAACAATGCTATGTCTGCAGTTTTGAATCACAGTGCTCGCACGGTTGTTCCTGCTAAGCACTTGACCAAAACAGATTCAGTTTATGGCCCTGTTTTAGGGCATTGAATCCGCTTCAGTTTTGGTTAAATTAAACGTTTCTCTTAAACAAGATGTGATGTTTCTTGCGGGCTAATAAATGGCGAAAAAAGAGAATAAAACTAAGTCAAGGAGCTTTATGTCAATTTTTATAGGAAGGAGAGGTGGATTGCTGGCCTCTTCTGTGCCCGAATCTAAACTGCGAGTACACAGCAGTCTCGGAAGGGGAGTGCTGCCCCCACTGCGTGAGTGACCCCTGCCAGGCCGATAACATCACGTACGACATCAGCAAAACCTGCCTGGATGGCTACGGGGTCCCCAGACTCAGTGGCTCCGTATGGACCATGGCCGGATCTCCTTGTACAACCTGCAAGTGCAAGGTACGGAGGGCATGGTGCGAATGGGAACGCGTGAATTCTGAGGAATACCTCAAAATGGAGCTGCTTTCTGGCCTTGGGAGCTCATGTCAAAAAACAGATAAAGTATCCCTTTTACTGATGTTAAGTCTGCCAGAATAAGGTTCTCTGAAAGTTAAATTGCAAATTCTGTGTTTTGTATCACTCTCAGGAAAACCTGCTCTTCTCTTGCTATTTGACAAAAAGTACCAGACAGGATTATGAACATGTTGTTTTGCATTATATAACATCTTCCACAACCCTTCTGCTCACAGTGCGAAATGGAGCTGTTGCTCCAGGGCTTTAATTTTTTGAAGTTAGCTTTGCAGTCATTCTTCAGAGTTCTTTCTTATTCTGTTGCATTGGATTAAAAAACAGAAGAAGGAAAACAGGCATGGTTGGGGGTTTTAGTGGCTATCATAGTTTCAGTGCATGAAAAAGTTTTGTAAATGGCTGGATGTAGCAGAAGTAAATCTAAATGATAGAGTTAACTCCAAAACCATCTGGCGTTTTCCACCATGCATTTTGCTGTGAATTGAGGATCCAAGCTGTGGTCTTATTCCAGACAAACTGACAGCGTCTCTGTGTGTCAGATTTGAGCAAAATTCTCTTTTATTCTTCTCTGGCATGGGAGGAAACAAATCCCATCCCCCTTGTCATGGATATTGTGTTAGGTTTTATCATGGGGGATGGACTGCTGAGGCTTCCCCGCCTGGATATCTGTTTCCCATGTGGTTGAGGTTAGTTACAGGTCTTGGTGAATGGGACTTGTCCCTGCTATACAGAGAGACGCAGAGCAGGAAAGGTCAGGCCTATTGAAGACGGCTGTTTAATGGCACCTTCTCAAAAGCCACTACAGCTGAGACCTATGGGAACATCTGATGGCCTCCTAGGTGGGGATCATGGCTCAGGTGGGTGCTTGGAGTGTGGAGGAGATGCAGCAGAACGATACGGTCTGTACGAGCGGCCCGGCCGCTCGGTGTGCCTGGCGGGATGAATGACACCCGCTTGTGTGTCTGTCTGTCTCTGCAGAACGGGAATGTCTGCTGCTCGGTGGATGTGGAGTGTCTCCACAATAACTGAAGCAGTGAGAGTGGACTGTTGTGGGTGAGGAACACTGCCGGAGTTGCCATCTGAATTGAAGACGTATGAGTTGATGTTTTGTACAACAGACAATTACCAAAGTCTCCGCATGAGGAAGATGTTTGGGAGTTGCCTTTGGGACCTATCACGATGCTCATCCTTGCTAGCCTTGTCTGGGTGACTTACAGCGCATACGAGTCAATGGTTGTTAAAAGTTTTCAGTGGTGTAAATGACACACTTTTGCTGTCAAGACATTTGCAAATATGTTTAAATTATCTCATGAGTAAACTAATGCTGTATTTTTGTTTTAAGTTGTGTATTGACAACATGAGAGGTCAGCTTTTCTTACTTTGCATCAAGATTTTACAGGTGAGACATCCTGTTGTGATTTTGTCCCCATGATATCACATACTTAGTTGCAAGGTCCCTGTCAGTTGTATTTATGAAAATATGTATGTATGTACAGTCAAATTGCATAGTACTTATATTGCACAGCTGTCTGGCATTTTAAAACATTTAAAGATATATTTGATTGGACAGAGTGGAAGTGACCAAACTAAGTCCATCTTAAAAATTTATAAAAGAATGCCATGAGCTTAATGAAATGGCAGAAAAGCACTTTCTTTTCCAAACATGTGGAGCAGGACCAAGACTCCAGTAATGAGAGGGGAGGGGGGAAAAAAAAAACAAAAAACACAACAACCCATTCCACCACTGTTCAGGAAAGAGTTGCTAGCTCTTCTCGATAGTCTGTTTTGCAAGAGAAACTGCGAATGTTGGAAAGGAATATAATTCCTCTGGGATGTGGAGTGATAAAACAGAGAACCTTAAAATGATATAGCTTCAATATGGTAGGCAGGATTTTGCTTTTAATTATAGTGACATTGAGTTCAAGATTTTCTTTTTGCACTTATGTAAAGTAGTTCTCAACACCGGATGACTTTCCTTACTCAAGTAACATGTAAGAATCAGATTTTCTCTTTTTTATGTTTTGTTACATTTACGATTCAGTTTTAAACTTAGCCATTCACGCAGTGTTGCTTAATACCTAAGTTTATACAAAAATATCGATTAAAACTCCTAGCCTTTATCATGGTGAGATTTTTGGATTCCTTTCAACGTATATCTGGTTCATTTTTTGATGAGGCTAGAGACTTTGTAGCATTAGAGTAAGAAGATATTTCTACAGTGATGGCATCTACAGCTTAAGTGTCACCTTTTTAACATGGTGTTGTGTTTCGTTCTACTCATTAGTGTCCTGTTCTTTGCTTTTAGTTCACTTACTTAAACACACCGAGTCTCTGGAAAAGAGTACAGAAATAAGTATAGTGATGCCAGTGAAAAGTATATGTTTGTAACTCCATAGTTTCATGCAGGAAGTGTGAGCCTGAACAACAAGAATGAAGTTTGGCTATACAGTGAAAAGCAGAGAGTATTCTTTTAAGTAAAGTACTGTCATGTTTCTCATAAGGGGGAAAACAATATAAAAAACACTTGCAACGGTTCAGATGATTTTATTGCTGTTTTTATTTATTTATTTATTTATTTATTTATTTAACATGTTTCGTTTTATCTTACAAGTTGTGTGGTAAAGTTAACTTTATTTTCTTAATATGCCCTGTCATTTTCTGCTCCTCATGTACTCACTCTATTTGTGTTGCCCTAATGATTGTATGATAGGGGAAGCAGTTGTGTTTTATATGATACTCAAAGGATGTTTGTAAATCATAACGTCAGTTCATTTTGTATATCACATTGTAAAACCCAATGGTAATTCAGTTGGATGAGATATCCAATGGGCTGAGGTATAAAGGGGAAGAATTTAAAACTTGTGGGCATCTAAATAAACTCCTATGTACAGGTTGCTTCCTTTAGTTTTATTAACAGGATCTAATACACTAATCACTGTGCTAAATCCCAAACTTCTGTTTTCCCTTTCCAGACTTTCAAGGTTGCTAACAGGAGAGAGAGCTTTTTCCTGCAGCGCTAGTATCCAAGTTGTACGAAATGCTTCATTCGTGTGTACATGGATAAAACCAGATATACGAGGCTGTCACACACACCATTCCTGCAGGTCTGTAAATGGGATTTAAGGTAGCGCAGGATCTGAAAATAGTGTGTTTCCCACTTGCAAGAGCAAAGCTTTATTTGGAGATGTTTGCTGGGAGCTCCAGACCTTGTTAGAAGCCTGGCTGGCAGGAGCAGCAAAGCTCGTGTCTTCCTGCCATTGTGCAGGCTGGTTTCCTTCCAGAACAAAGCTGCAGAGCAGCTTAGCAGAACCCTCTCAGTCTCTTCTACGCAGCATTAAGTGTTGGTGTCTCCAGAGCAATACAGCTTGAATTGTTTACACTGAGTCAAAATATTGTCAGAGACTTGCTTATGTTGCATTTTAAGCAGTTTTCCAGACTATGATGAGCTTTTGCCCATCGCTAGTCACATCACGCTCAGAAAATATCTTCACGTACTCAGAAGTGACAACTTCAGCTCAAACAGTAGATTGAGAGGCAAAATTTAGTACACTCTATTCCTTTGCGACTAAGGTAAGAACTTTGCAAACCTATTTCTTTGGAGGGGGCTTGATGAAGTTTCCTATTAAGAAAAAAAACCATGGGTGTTAAGAGTGAAAAGGCAGCTCTATTCCATTGTGACTAAGGTAAGAACTTTGAAAACCTATTTCTTTGGAGGGGACTTGATGAAGTTCCCTATTAAGAAAAAAAAAACATGGGTGTTAAGAGTGAAAAGGCAGCAAAATAGTGATTTGTATTATAATTGAGGTGTAGCTAGAAAAAAAATAGTTTCTAAAAATGTGTACTTCATGAGATGGCCCTTTTCTCCACTCAGAACATTTGGAAAGGAAAAGTGCAGATGGTTAAGGGACTCGGTTCAAATCTCACTGTAGTTGGAATTTTATAGCTTTTTGTACTTATTTATCATGCAAAAGAATAATTTCTCTGCATATTACATCTGAAGTCGAAAAGAAAAAAATCTAACATCAGTTGAGAAAGAGGAAAGCAAGGTGGCAGGTGCAGTAAACCATATTTGCCTCTGCATTTTAGTAAGAAGTGCGACCCAGGCACTGAGTCGGTCCTTGGTGTCATGTTGTGCCCTGCCTCGTAGAGACACGTTTTGGCTCATTTTGGTCCCCAGCGTGCTTGCAGACTCATCGTTTCTTGTGGCTCCTAAAAACATGAACCGTGCTGAGCCCAGTGGCCAAACTAGTCTCTAATGTAACGGCAAAGAAAACCCATCCTGTTTGCACAAAAACTGAATAATATCTGACTGACTCATGAGAATATGTGGGAGATGTGTTAGTCAACTACCTTCCTGTAATACCTATCCCAATAGCTGCCAGTGAGCTTTCAAGTGTAACTGTGAACAGCATTTAATTATTAGCATCTTTCTAATCAGATTGTGATGGCAAGCACAATAATGGCTGTTTTTTCCTATATACAATGATATTTTACTAAACAAAAAGCAAAATGCTACAAGCGGTTACACAAATGGTGAAACAGCTCATAATAGCATTAAATCATGACTCCTGTGAGCAGTATGGAAATATCTCTCATGTAATGGTACTTACCTAATCATCATTAATGAGATGATTTTAAAAGGGCCCCATGATACAGTTCGATGTAACATTTTAAGTGAGTGTTGTGATAAGGCATAATTGTTTGAGGAATATATTCTGCTCTCAGAAGTATATACCTGCCAGAGAGCAAGCATCCCTATTATGGCAGAAGATCCTTAGAGTTCCTCTGGATTAAAACTGTTGTAAGGAAGGTAAAAATCTGGTCCTGATCCTTCTCTTTCTGCACCAAAATACCTGTAGGCAAAAGACTTATACTGTTGAGAATTAAAAGAAAAAAAAATCCAAGCTAGGGTGACAGAGTTCTTGTACTCATAAGAGGAAGGAACTGAGTATGAAGTCAACAATAATGTTTCCATTGGTCATAGACTTCAGGAGAGGTTTTGATGAAATCCTGGTATTGCCTGGTACTTGCATACGCCAGCAACATTATCCTTTGCTGATAGGTCACAATACATCTTGTTTGGCTCCCCACAAATAAATGGGGCTCCATGTAAGCAGGATTGGTAGACGCAAAAGGCTTGTATGCCAATAAACTGATGAAAAGGGTTTGCTTTTTTTAATGAAACAGTCACCAGGAGATTTGCAGTATGTAAGAAAAGGATGTCAGCTTCCTAGTCACAAACTGAAACAAACCACCCCCATGCCCCCTGCCTATCCCCTAAACCAAGAGTGACGTTTAAACTCCTTGCTCCTACTTCTACTGCACAGCACGAGGGATGCCCTGAATCCCGATGAGCGGATTTCTGACCAATAGCCAAATCTTTGCTTCAGCAGTATGTCACACATCATTTAATTTTCTTCTTAAATTTGTTCATGAGATTGTTTTATTTAAGGGAATTAAGTGATCTCAAGTGGTGCTTGGAGACAAGTATTATCATGTTCTTCTTGAAGTCGAAGTAGCTAGAACAGGATCGTACACACTTCCTTGCTGTCCATCTCCACCCAGGCTGGGAGCAACTGCCTTGGAAAAAGCTGGTGAGATAACAGTTTCTTTCAGTAGTTTTTTTTCAAATAACTATTTAAAGAGAAACCATAACATGTTTACCTATTCCAGAGGTCTCTATTATTGTATGCCTTTTTGGCTATATGTGTGCAGGTACAGATATGCCAAGCATGGTAGGTCTGCTCAGATGTTCTGCAGGAGATGGCACCACCACTCAAACACAAAGCAGGGCTCAGAAGTCCACCAGAAAATTGAAATGGGGTTGGAAAGTGCTGTTCCCTGACAGTGCTATTTACCAATATTGGTGACTGCTTGATGAACTATAAATCTACTTTTGGCATCACAAGCATTTCAGGCATACACCGTTTAACCCAGTGCCTCTTTGTACTGACGTTGGCAGGTTTTCTTTTCACACACTTTAATGTTAAATATGGAGATTTGTTTTCTTGCCTGAATATTATCCAAAACCTTATCCTGCACGGCAGAAATAAAAAAAGGAGTTTTGCTATTATAATGCCTGTAGACTAGGATCAGACATTTCTTTACTCTGCCTCTCTGAGGTGAGAATCACGGTGTTGCCCAGTGTGTCTTAAGGTAAGCAGTAACTCTAAGGGTAAACTCTTGCCTCTGAATTTAAGAGTTACCAAATATATGTACTGAAAAAATAAAATAACACCAATCTATGCTTCCCTCTTGTAGCTTCCCAAGGACAGCAAAAAGGTACATTTAGAGCTGTAAAGGCAGACTTCTGGATGGCCACAGGTAAGGTTGTTTCCTCACATATGGGTTAAATCATTAGCTGATTAAGTTCACTCCAGGCACACACATCTCTTCTGTGATTTGCAGGATAGAGGACTTACTGCCTAGTTGCCTTACTGAACTAGGCAACTGCTGCACAAAGGGCCTGGGATTGGGTGGGAAGGAGGGAGGTTAGTTCGATCCCTAGCAAAGCATCCCCCGCCTTACTAAGCAAATTAGCTTACTGACATCAAGATGGTGTTTTTCTATCTTATTATAATCAAAAAAAAAAAAAG